CAACTGTGCATATTTAGCCGAGCTATATGGCCGTCGACGAGCCGTCGATCCAAAACCGAAAGTTCAAAATTTATAATTATATTCTGATTATGATATTGTCGCGCCATCTAGTATTCTATTTGTGCAATTTTAGCTCTTTCATTTCGAGTATTTTTCTGTTGCGTAGCTAGATATTCTGTGATTTAAGTATAGATAAATCATATAATATACGAATATATTATAAATATATTTTTTTATTATTTCAATAACGATTTTTTTGTCTGCCCTTTTGCATACGGCTTTTTAAATTAATTAACAATAAACATGACATTCCACCAACCGACATGCTTGTATGCGATGATTTCCTTTTGTCAAAATTCTATGCCTCTTTCGCGTTGTCTGCCGGCATTTCAGCCACGAGAAAAATGTCTGTCAAAAATTTTACACGTTTCCTAATAATAAATAAAAGCTATTTGGCAATTATAACTCGTGTACCTTATAATATTTTTAGTGTCAAAATTTCACCCTTTCGATTGGCCGCCCCCGCTTTAAGCCCCGGGATCGTGCTGGCAGACATATGACTATTTCACAATGGCTACACAAAAGGATACTTCACACAAAAAATTAGCCATGTAACGATGATAAGGTTTTTTATGTAGCCAGCTCTCGGTCTAATAGTTCAACTCCAGAAACACGCCTTTTTTTGTTTTTAGTCAATAAACATAATTTTTTTGATAATATGGCAACATAGGTAGTAGATTAAATTTTCAAGAAAGAAAATCCAGAAAAGATACAGTGGTTCTCAAAATTTGGATAATCTTTGCCAATACTAATTATTGGGAATAATACAATGATGATGATAATATTTATTTTTAGGGTTTATTGGTTATCTAATACCGGTTCTCCTGGATGTAAGATAGAGAGGTGCGAACTCGCTAACTGGCAAATGTTAGCCAGACCAGATTTTCCTAGCTTTAGCATTAGATTTTGAGGCAAATATGTACTTGACATTATGTGTAATTATCATTTTAGAAAATTTATTTTTTTATAATACGAAATCGAAATGAATATAATTTATATTTGTACATTTATTATTTGTGATAGTGGTGATTTAGCATCTATTAGTAATAAAAGATTACGATCGATCTATTTCTGCTCATTTGTCGACACGGCGTATACCTATCTATATCTATACTATACCGTATGAATAAAAAAAAACGCATTGATTTACCTAACAAATAATTATTGATAACATTTTATTTTATTGTGAAAGCGAATGAAATTATTACGTGAAAAAAACTATTTGTTACACGAAAAAACTATTAGCGCACGCCGCACAATTTTTTTTATAGTTTTGTACTTCGTTTATGTTAAAATGTTTTGAGTTTTCGGATTTTATAGTAATCTTTTATTATTGTGATATCCATTTATATTCTGTTTTTATGTGAATTGGTAATCTTTTAATTAAATAAAAAGCATATGGCTCAAGATTAACTTTTCTATTTATAAGATTGTTGTAATGTCTATCGTAATAACAATATTATGTAGTTTATTAAAGCAGTGTTCATGTAGTTAATGGAAAAGACGTAGTTTTTGAAGAGAAATCAGGTAAATTAATTATTACTTTCGAACCCTGGTTGTGTGTTGTGTCATTTGTAATCTGTGGTGTGGCCTGTTCTGCGGTCAGAGATATAGATCTCTATATCTCTGTCTGCGATCTGTTTTATGTATGTTCTGTGGTTTCTATTCTGTGGGCTGGTTCTGTGACTTGGGTTCTGTGGTTGCCATTGTCAATGCTGTCAGCTGTAGGAATGTGTGATTCTGTAAAAGAATCGATTTTTTTGGATCGATCTAGATCGAATACTCGCGATACAAGAAAAATCTCAAGTTAAAAAATCGATCATAGTGAGAATCGATCTCTAATTTTCCATTTTTGCAATAAATTATAAATATAGATTTCTATTTTTATGACTTTTTTACATACAAAGACACAAAACATAAAACAAAATAAAGTATAATTCTGAATAATACAACAGGAAGCAAAATTACTTTAGGTAACAGTGTAACGTAAAACTTCAAAAAAAAAACAAAACAAAATAAAATGGCCGCGGTTGAGTGCAGAATAATTTCTTTTTGTTACGTAATTTATGATATCTTCTGAAATTGAGGATAAAATTGGGGTTGTATGACGACTCGATCTCGATCTAAAAGAATCGATTCCATAAATAATCGGTTTTATATTAATCGATTCAAAAAATCGGGAATCGCATGTCAAAAGATCGATCTTGTGAAGAATCGATTTAAATCGAACATCCCTAGACAGCTGTCACTACTGTCAGTGTCAGTGCGCCTGCCGTCAAACGTCAGTTGTCGTCGTCAGTCGTCAGTTTGCTTGAGTTTGTTGTCTCCGCCACATCGGTTATTCTGACTAGTTTTCTAGAGCTTGAGATTTTGTATTTAATTCCTTTTAGTGCATAAATATATCATATAGCTGATCAAAATGGGGAAAGGATTTAATAATTATATGTGTAAAAAATTCTTCCATCCAGCATCCAGGGATAATTTAAAGAGGGTAAGTAGTAATGTATTACTTAAATTGAAAACTGTTTTCTGACAAAGAATGTTTAGGTATGGATGGCCGAACAAAAAGCTGAAGCGTATAAAAAGAAACAAGAAGAACTTAGACAACAGTATGAAAAAGAACAAGATTTGCATGACAACAAAGCCATGTTAAGTAAAGAGAGCAAGGATAAATTGGCTGTCAACTTTATGTATGAACCACCACCAGGTAATAAAAAATAGAAATAGTTTTATAAATTCTCTCTCTAACCAGTTTATATTATTTTATAGGCGCTCGTAAGGAAAGAGAAAAGGAAGATGATGAACCGGAATATAAATTCGAGTGGCAAAGAAAATATAATGCTCCAAGAGAAAGCTATTGTAAAGGAGACCAAGAAATTAGAGATCAGCCGTTTGGCATTCAAGTACGTAACGTACGGTGCATAAAATGTCACAAATGGGGCCATATCAATACAGATAAAGAATGTCCAATGTACAGTTTATCGATGAGTGCGGCAAGGTCACTGGAAAGTGCCTCAATTCTCGATCAAAAGTCGTTGGTGGCCCAAATGCTTGAAGATGGGCTAGCTTTGAAGAAACAACACGTTAATTCAGTGGACGCCAATAAACATTTGCTTGTTAGTGAAGATGAGGCAGAAAACGATGAAGTCCAGTTCCTGAATTCACTAACAAAAAAGCAGAAGAAGGCATTATTGAAGTAAGCTTGCAAAATTAATTAATTTTTGAATTTTTAATTAACTCTTTTATTTGTTTTAGAAAACTGGAAAAGATAGAAAAAAAGGAACGCAAGGCAGAGAAACAAAGTACAAAAAGGAAACATTATAACAGCAGTGATGAAAGTAGCGACGAAGAGAGTTCACATAAGAAAAGACCTAAAAATTTCAAGCAAGATCCTGATCAGTCTGCAGATAGGAGGAGGTAAAATGATTAATTTTTTCTGTTGGAAAAAAAAATATAACTTTAATTTTTTTATTATAGGCATAGAGATTCCAGCAGAGATAGAAGCAAAAAGAATAAAGACAGATCAGGATATAGGAAGGATGATAAATATTCTGATAGAAAGTCATCCAATAAAGGAGAATACCGAAAGAGAACAACCAGTGAATCTGAGTCTGGGAGGTATAGAAAGTAGATTCGAGATTAGAAATCTATTGTAAATAAATATATTTCATATATTATGTATTCTTTAAATATAGATTTTTCTGAATAAATTGTTTTCAAGCCTTAGCGACGATTTTATTCTACTGATGAAATTAAAAAGTTTAAAATACATTGGTACTATCTTCAAACAAATTAAATAATAAAACACGTTATAATTTTCAATATTAACAAAACATTTACAACACATAATCTAGTTCGTATCTAATATATTGATTCTTCGGATCATTAGCAATTCGAGGATATCCGGCTACCAAAGCATCCTGTCCTCCAATATATAAGGAATTGTAAATTTTCCAATACACATCCTTTTTCGATGTCAAAACATAAACTTTTGGGGTTATGTCCTAATTCTTCCCTATTTTAGGTCTTTTTTATTGGTGGCAATTGGACAATATGGATATTTCTTTGTAAGCATATACTGACGTCATCCAGGTGGTGGTCTGATTGCAAACTTAACGACAATGAGTAAATAGCTATCGATCATACCTTGTTTTCTTTGTACCATGGGTTGATACATTTATTTCCTCTATGCGGTATTGCCAGATTTTGCATCAAAATTTCAAACCGCACAAGTAGGAGTTTACGAAAAATGTTGCATCTAGGGTTGGAACTTTATTTTTCACAATTAGTTACTTATTTTACTACAGCTGTAATATATAATTATATTTAGCTTTTAGATATATTATCTTCATTTCAATAGTATACATAGAAGTTTTTAAAATAGTTTTTTTTCTACCACATTTTCCTACACGCGGAAAAACCGGCAACGCTGTATGCCGGTTTTTATTTTGTTTCTCTGTCTGTCAACCAGTCATTTATATTTATCTCTGACGCATGCATTAAAATACAGACCACGCAGATGAACTGGCCAGGATGGTATATTATACAGGGTGGTCCAACTGTATTCCGGAAACTTTGGCAGCATATTCTGCAGATAAAAATAAGTAAAAAAGTTCGTATAAATGTGTGTCCTAAAATGCTTAGTTTCGGAGATACAGGGTGTAGAAGTTTCATTTTTATCTTGATTTTTTTCAAATAATTTCTGAAGTAACGTCAATATTTGGATAAAAATTGGTGCGTGGGAGTTTATTGAGATAAGAAATTTGATTTTGATGTCAGTATGATTCCTACTTTTTTTTAATCAATCACCTTTTTTTAATCAATCTTTTTTTTAATTAATTTTGAATTTTTGAAAACTTTTTTACTTATTTTTATCAGCAGAATATGCTGCCGAAGACCCTGTATAATCTCTAATTGCTTACACGTATGTAAATTACGAAATACCTGTAAAGTGTACTGCAATATTTTAATGGGTCCAAGGGCAACTCTCATCCCTTCTATCGCGTCCATAAAGGCTTGGACGAGATGCGGAGATGTTTCAAATATATTTGGCCACACGTAATTTAGTAGGTGCACAAGGGCATCCTCGCATCCGAATCCATACACACCGAGAGCCATGTGTTTGATAGCCGCACAAGCGGTCTGTCTGTGAACTAAATCTCTGTCCATCAATGCATCTTCTAACAGAGGAACAACAGCGTATATGTAATCTTTACCTAAAAATTAATAAATTATATATTAAAAATCATAATAAAGTAAGTAAGGTTCTCGACGACTATAGGTGTTGATAGCTGTAAAAAAAATTAAAAAATATATATTTGTTGAACTCGAACCCGGGACCCCTTGGTCCCGAAACGACCACCTTACAAATGAGACCACAGCTGGTTTTGTAACCAGGCTATAGCTAGGTATAGTCTATAAAATGAATAACTTTGAATTTTGACCGTTATTTTTTACCAATATGGCAAATATAAAATCCCTCTGTCAAAAAAGTTACTGATATTCTTTAAATTGAGTACCTGAACGAATCAGATAGGTAACTCTTTTTACTTTCGTGAAATAGAAAAGGAAAATAATAAAACAAGTGACAGTTCTTCCTCTTCTTGCAAAAATCAACCCGAAATGTCATAATTGCCAAAAGTAAAATGTCATCAGCGTTTGACATTTCTAAATATCAAACCAATGCCGTCTCTAATAGAACAGCCACGGAGCGAGATTTATGACGTCACGCTAATTAGATACTAAGGATTAATAAATATGTTGTAAAATACATGGAAAACATAATTATTCCTCGTATTTTTGGTTTGTATTTTAAAAATGATATAGTTTACATGAAATATATATAATATACAGTTAATAAATACAATATATATACCTCTTTATAGTAATAAATACTTTGGCAAATAAATTATAAACCATACAAATGCAGCAAATGTTTTACAATATACAAATAATGAATAGGTACGTAAGATAATGGGTAAAATGTAAAATATATTTTAAATTTTGGTGTTTGAAAATCGATCTAATTTAACAAAAAACATTCAATATCTACTAATAGTGATGTATTATTATTTGCATTCACAAAATTTATATGTATATTTTGCAAGTATCAATGTTCGAAAAATTATATTTGCAAATAATACAATATCATAGAAAAAAGGCGTCAGCGATGGCTATAAAATAAAGATCGCTGTCATTTTATATGTAAAATTATTCTAAAATTTTTGATTTTCTTGGGATTTAGGTTAGGATGGAGTACGATTTCAGCCATAGTCAATGTAGATAGTTAGTGTTAAGAATAATAATTTTAAAAAATAAACAAAATATTAAAAATAAACAAAAACAATAAATAATAATGAATTAATATTATTAAAAAAGTTATTAACTGTATATTATGTATATTTCATGTAAACTATATCAGTTTTAAAATACGAACCAAAAATACGAGGAAATTTTTTCCATGTATTCTACAACATATTTATTAATCCGCAGTATTTAACTAGCGTGACGTCATAAATCTCACTCCGGGGCTGTTCTATTAGAGACGGCATTGCGTCAGCATGGCCGCAAGTTGCTAACCTAATAAAATTAACACTAGAAAAGCGCGCGGGAACTGTCAAATTCAAAGTTATTCGTTTCACAGACTATATTACTTAGTTCCTCCGCAACAGGGTTGCCTATTCTGGAAGATGGATACCCGCTAGACTCGTATATTAAAATCCGCTAGAATTCGCTAGGAGCGATATTGAACCTGAAATTGTGCTTTTTCGCCCATTCTTGAAGCTTTTATTAAAGCTTTCATCGCCTGATGAGCCGAATTTAAAGTTACTTCGAAGATTCTAGGCCTAGGTACTATAAGAATATGTGATTATTACGCGACTATTGAGGCAAATTTTGAAAAAAACGTCGTTTTTAGAATTGAAATAATAATTTTTGTGTCAATTTTACTTATATTTTATTCAAAAATGTAAACCGCTAGCCGATAAATTATATTTTTTCCCGGTAAACTGAAAAATAAACCGCTAGATCTAACGGGAAAACCGCTAAGTTGGCAACAGTGCTCCGCAAAAGCATTAAAGTAAGGTTATGGCTAATACCATTCGCACGTATTGCGCAAGCGCAAAGCTTTTCGGCATGAATTGTTGGGCTGTAATTGAGGGGTTTCTGGCAAAAACCCTATTAGTCAAAAAATGGGTAAAATTAGTTAATGGCGCTATCCGACAGTAATTTGTTAGTCATAACCTTCCTACCAAACGAATTCGGGAAAAGTGCTATAAGTCAGCCCGTGCATACGATCAAAAATACCGTAATATTTTTGATCATATGCACGTTTTGATCGTATGCACTCATAGTTTTTTTTTATTATTTTGACAGTTTTGTATATTTTGTATTTGTTTTATGTTTATTATTTGCCACAGCTTTGTAAACAAGAGAAATCTTATAACAATAAAGCAATGATTGATTGATTGTTCTTTAACTTGATTTTGACTATAAATCTATTCTGAACTGTTTTATTATACGAGAACTTTAAATGTTGTCTAGAAATGGTCATCTCTAAAACCATTGTGTGACATTATGGTATTTTTAGAATCTGAATTGAATGGCAAATCCACTGAGAATACAGGGCATTCCATAATAAAAAATAATTAAAATAAAAAATATAATTAACATTAAAAATAGTTACTGTGATATTTTTAAATATTTTAATTCATGCATTCCCAAGGAGACAAACTAAAAATAAAATATAATTACCCATTTCTCCGATATACTCGAATAAGAAGGAAAGCGACTTCAACACTCCATTTTGTACGTTCAATTCCGGAACTCTGTATTCGTTCATCAAAGCCGGTAATACTGTAAAGGGCGAGCAGGTTTCCGCGACGATGGCTATGGCCACAGTAGTACAAACCCGATTTTGACGTTCCTGTACTTTCAAATTGTTCAACAGAGTGGCCAGCACGTCATGAGGACCTATCGCTTTGGCTATGTAACCGAATGTGTTGACGGTGGCTCGCCGAATAGCCTTTTTATGCGCCTTGAGCAGTTCTAACAGTTCGAAGCAAATTCTCATCCATTCCCTTGCGGATACGTATTCGGGACCCCTATCGGCGATACGGCCCACCAAATCTATGCAGTTTTCTTGCACCTTTTCGTGTCGATTTTTCAAAATTGGCGTCAATCGGGGAAGTAAATCTTTTATTGGCGGTGTCATCTTTGTCATTCCTGTAAGAAAAAAGAATTATCGATAAAAAACTAAAATTTATTTCAAAATAAATTAAATCCACTCACAAATATACAGGGTGATCCAAACTGTATTCCGGAAACTTCGGCAGCATATTCTGCAGATAAAAATAAGTAAAACAGTTTGTATAAATCTTTGAATAAGAAGACTAAGGAAGGAGCATAATGCTATCCATGTATTCATGCATGGTGGGCGGAAAAGGCACCATAAAAGCTCTCTAGGGTGGGGATCCTTGACAGTTCTGTTTGACGATTCATTTGACACATTTGAATTTGATTTGAAGTTTTGTGGATTTGTCCGTCTTTACGGAGCTTATTTTATGTTATTTATTATTTATTCTACTACTGATAGTTGTATAAAGGTAGTAAATCTAGATGGACATTGTGGCAGAACTTAAATTAACAGTGACACTATCGCGATTTATCGAAAAAGACTCTAAAATAGTTGGTTGTGTAGCGTGCGGTAGATCTCGGCAAAAATTGAGTGAAATAATGAAACAACTTTTCGCTAGTAAGTGACTATATAATATACATACGTGTAGTAAACCGATCATTTATGATATTCACTTAAATTAACTAAATTATATATTTTTCTTGCATTTTAGCTTTTATTTATTACTTGTCACAGATTAGATGTCAAAGAATTTAGATACGTTAATTTGACTTACCTGCTTCAGTAGCGTATCGGATGTTTGTGTTAATAAATACTTATTATAACTTATCTATTTTTATTAGAATTATATATTTTTATAACAATTTTAATAACTACCAACATTTATTCACAACGTAAAATAAAACAACAAATTATTGAGTCTACCCCACGTCTACCCTACATCATAGTTTTACATTTTTTAAATAAAATTAGAACGACACTGATAAACCGGAATTTAAGTCGGCCATATTTGAGGCCCATCGCGGTGTACCTAAGATTTTTGATATGCTCCTTCCTTAGTCTTCTTATTCAAAGGTATAAATGTATGTTCTAAAATGTTTAGTTTCGGAGATACAGGGTGTAGAAGTTTCATTTTTATTTCGATTTTTTCCAAATAATTTCTGAAGGAACGTCAATATATGGATGAAAATTGTTGTCTGAGAGTTTTTTGACATGGCAAATTTGATTTTTATGTCAGTATGACTCCTACTTTTTGAAGGCGCTAATATTGACGTTACTTCAGAAATTATTTGAAAAAAATCGAAATAAAAACGAAACTTCTACACCCTGTATCTCCGAAAGTAAGCATTTTAGAACATACGTTTACACCAACTTTTTTACTTATTTTTGTCTGCAGAGTATGCTCCTGAATACAGTTCAAAGCACCCTGTATTTTATAGATATATTTTTAGTCTGAATTCTCACCTATAACATTCACGATAGCTTTTAATGCACCAAGAATTGATCCCAGTACCTCAGGATATTCTTCTCCCAAATATTCATAAAGTACTACACCTAAATGTCCCATAAGTTTTTCCTCTTGACAAGTCTTCATCACGACTGCTATCCTATAAAAGAAAAAAATATATTTAAATTCTATAATTCCGCAAGCCTTCAAATATATACCTACCTAGAAATTAAGTCGGCTGCTTGTTGGCGCACTTTGGCCGATTTGTTATTTAATCTCCACAAAATGGTACCACAGATTTGAGGTAAGTATGGTTTGACTCTTTTCCCCAACTGATTTACTATAGTACCGAAACCGTTAAGCATTACTACATCTTCTGTTGTCTGTTCTTGGAAAGCATATAAAATACCTGAAAAATATGAGTATTAAGCAAACTGAAATAAAAAATTGTGTGTGCACTATGTACGCATATTTGAAGTGGGACTTCTTACTAACAGCTATTAAATTGAAGTATATATTTTTTTATCAATCTTTTTATAAACTTCACAAAAAAAAATTAGGTTAGTATAAAACCGTATACTATTCTAGCTTTATAATTTACTAGCGTGTACCAGCGACTTCGTTCACGTTGAATCAATCATTTGTAATGGTGATGATAAAGCAAAGCAAGAATTTCCATTAACATACAAACTGGATAAAATTTTCTCACACATATGTCAACATGTGAAAAAACAATATGGCGATATTATTATATAACTTGGTAATATTTGAGGGGTAGTTTCATCTCGTTGGAATTTGACTTTCGAAAAATCCGTTTGCCAAAAATAAGCTTTTTACGTCAAGCAGTTTAGGCACAATCGTGGTTAAGAAATTACCCAACTTTTTGGAACACACTGTATGATTTTTTAAAAAATTCGAAATATGTAAAAAAAACAAATAAATTATGCTTGTCCAAGCGTTTTCCCGAAAGACTAACCGTTTTTTAAACAACAAATATTATAATATTTGAGGGGCGTTTTCACCCTCTTGGAATTTGAGATTCAAGAAACTCCTCCTTATCAAACCTCTACACCCCACAGTCAATCCGTTTGCCAAAAATCAGCTTTAAACGTCAAGCAGTTTAAGCGGAATCGTGATTACTCAATGGTCATATTTTATGAAACACACTGTATAAATTTATAAAAAATCTTAAAATATGTAAAACGACAAAATAAAATATACGTGTTTAAGAGTTTTTCCGAAAAACTTACCGGTTTTTGAATAAAAATATTTTAATATTTGAGGGATAGTTTCACCCCCTTAGAATTCGAGTTTCGAAAAATCCCTTCTTATCGAACCTCTACACCCTAAAGTCAATCTGTTTTCCAAAAACCAGCTTTTTACGTCAAGCGCTTTAAGCAGGATCATGATTAACCAATGACCAGATTTTTCGAAACACCCTGTATACATTTTTAAAAAATCTTAAAATATGTAAAAAACAAAATAAAATATACGTGTTTAAGCGTTTTTTCGGAAACTTGACCGTTTTTTAAATAAAAAATATTGTAATATTTGAGGGGTGGTTTCACCCTCTTGGAACTGGAATTTCGAAAAATCCCTTCTTATCGAACCTCTACACCCCACAGTCAATCCGTTTGCCAAAAATCAGCTTTAAACGTCAAGCAGTTTAAGCGGAATCGTGATTACTCAATGGTCATATTTTATGAAACACCCTGTATAAATTTATAAAAAATCTTAAAATATGTAAAACGACAAAATAAAATATACGTGTTTAAGAGTTTTTCCGAAAAACTTATCGGTTTTTAAATAAAAATATTTTAATATTTGAGGGATAGTTTCACCCCCTTAGAATTCGAGTTTCGAAAAATCCCTTCTTATAGAACCTCTACACCCTAAAGTCAATCTGTTTTCCAAAAACCAGCTTTTTACGTCAAGCGCTTTAAGCAGGATCATGATTAATCAATGACCAGATTTTTCGAAACACCCTGTATACATTTTTAAAAAATCTTAAAATATGTAAAAAACAAAATAAAATATACGTGTTTAAGCGTTTTTTCGGAAACTTGACCGTTTTTAAAAAAAAATATTGTAATATTTGAGGGGTGGTTTCACCCTCTTGAACTGGAATTTCGAAAAATCCCTTCTTATCGAACCTCTACACCCACAGTCAATCCGTTTGCCAAAAATCAGAATCGTGATTACTCAATGGTCATATTTTATGAAACACCCTGTATAAATTTATAAAAATCTTAAAATATGTAAAACGACAAAATAAAATATACGTGTTTAAGAGTTTTTCCGAAAACTTATCGGTTTTTAAATAAAAATATTTTAATATTTGAGGGATAGTTTCACCCCCTTAGAATTCGAGTTTCGAAAAATCCTTCTTATAGAAACCTCTACACCCTAAAGTCAATCTGTTTTCCAAAACCAGCTTTTTACGTCAAGCGCTTTAAGCAGGATCATGATTAATCAATGACCAGATTTTTTCGAAACACCCTGTATACATTTTAAAAATCTTAAAATATATAAAAACAAAATAAAATATACGTGTTTAAGCGTTTTTTCGGAAACTTGACCGTTTTTTAAATAAAAATATTGTAATATTTGAGGGGTGGTTTCACCCTTTTAAACGTCAAGCAGTTTAAGCGGAATCGTGATTACTCAATGGTCATATTTTATGAAACACCCTGTATAAATTTATAAAAAATCTTAAAATATGTAAAACGACAAAATAAAATATACGTGTTTAAGAGTTTTTCCGAAAAACTTATCGGTTTTTAAATAAAAATATTTTAATATTTGAGGGATAGTTTCACCCCCTTAGAATTCGAGTTTCGAAAAATCCCTTCTTATAGAACCTCTACACCCTAAAGTCAATCTGTTTTCCAAAACCAAATCTTTTACGTCAAGCGCTTTAAGCAGGATCATGATTAATCAATGACCAGATTTTTCGAAACACCCTGTATACATTTTTAAAAAATCTTAAAATATGTAAAAAACAAAATAAAATATACGTGTTTAAGCGTTTTTCGGAAACTTGACCGTTTTTTAAATAAAAAATATTGTAATATTTGAGGGGTGGTTTCACCCTCTTGGAACTGGAATTTCGAAAAATCCCTTCTTATCGAACCTGTACACCCTAGAATCAACCTGTATGCCAAAATTGAGCTTCTTACGTTGAGTGGTTTGAGCAGGATCGTGATTAATCAGTATGTCCTTAAGGATTTTATATTAGTATAGATTTTTTTAATTTTTACTAAAAAACGATAATTCTATCACTCGGCCGGATAGCCTGGCAGCTGTGGCCATTAAACCAAAATACTAAAACACATCTATATCTCTGACTACTACTCGTTAGTAGCAGTTGCTACTAACTAACAATTTGTTTTGAGTCTGTTTTTGTTTAATTGTTTTGTTCATTATTCATGTTGGGGATTTATTTTTAAATATATGTTGATCGTTAGGCAAACTCATAGGATATGTATTTCTTTTGCATAATCAAAATTGTGACTCTACATAACCAAATTGTCACTCCAAATCGATGTCTTTTTTAGACAGATGTCTAAAAAGAAGACTAAGGAAGGAGCATAAGAAGACTAAGGAAGGAGCATATCAAAAATTTTAGGTCCACCGCGATGGGACTCAAATATGGCCGACTTAAATTCCGGTTTATCAGTGACGTTCTAATTTTATTTAAAAAATGTAAAACTATGATGTAGGGTAGACTCAATATTTTTTTTTTATTTTACGTTGTGAATACATGTTGGTAATTATTAAAATTGTTATAAAAACATATTATTATAATAAAAATAGATAAGTTTTAATAATTATTTATTCACACAAACATCCGATACGCAACTGAAGCAGGTAAGTCAAATTGACGTATCTAAATTCTTTGAAATCTAATCTTTGAAAAGTAGTAAATAAAAGCAAAAATGAGAAAGAAAAAATATATAATTAGTTAATTTAAGGGAATTTCATAAATGATCGGTTTACTACACGTATGTATATTATATAGTCACTTACTAGCGAAAAGTTGTTCCATTATTTCACTCGATTTTTGCCGAGTTCTACCGCACGCTACACAACCAACTATTTTAGAGTCTTTTTCGATAAATCGCGATAGTGTCACTGTTAATTTAAGTTCTGCCACAATTTCCATCTAGATTTACTACCTCTATACAACTATCAGTAGTAGAATAAATAATAAATAACATAAAATAAACTCCGTACGACTGACAAATCCACAAAATTTCAAATCAAATTCAAATGTGTCAAATGTATCGTCAAACAGAACTGTTAAGGATCCCCACCCGAGAGTGCTTTTTCCGCCCACCATGCATGAATACATGGATAGCATTATGCTCCTTCCTTAGTCTTCTTATTCAAAGGAATTCTCAGAATCTTGTTAACAAAAGTCTCATCTTAAAATAAAATTTTAATCAATCACTATTGTTTATCTCCATCATTTACCGGATTAATAATACAGTTTCAATTACAAACAATTCATTATTTATAGCGATTTGCAGTAATTGTATAAAATTATACGAATATTTCCGTTGATTATTTGTTTGAAATTAATATGACAAGTGTCCTCCAATGAAAACGCGAGTTACTAACTCTAAACTCTAATTCTGAGCTGGTAAATGAGCTAGATGCTTTACCTAGACCGTTATTCAGAAACTACAAACGTTTCAATGAAAATATGCACGAAAATTTACTTCCTAGCATACAAGGTTAGTACAATATCAAGTTTATTATAGTGATTTTCTTAGCCGCGTATGGCACAGTTTAACCAGTGTTGCCACAAGCTTATTTTTCATTGAGGTAGATTATCACGAGATAGCGATTATCACGGTTAAATTGTCTAACAAAGGGGTAGATCTACCCCGAATGGGGTAGCTGTGGCAACACTGCCGTCATTCAAGGCCGAGTTTCACGATTTTGAATTTTTACTCCCAACGCGCCTAAAGAAGTCTCACACAAAAATAATATCCTTAATTATTAATTATTACCATCTATAAGTTGTTCCTCCAGTCGCGAATCGATGTCGGCAGCGCCTAAATTTCCCATAATTTTTTCAATACTCTCCATAACCATTTTTCTGTAAGCTTCGTTTTCATCTTTCAAGTCATCTACAATTCTATTGATTATCTCTGATGCCCCGACTTTGTTAGCAATCTCTACCGTGGTATCGACCAATTGCCTATAATTTCTTCTGTCCAAAGCCATACGGTGGTTCCAAAAATGCTTGAAGAACTGTGGCAAAATCTCTTCTTTAATGTACTGTGCTTCCACACCGTCGGTGGAGCAACACTGTTTCACAACTTTTAATACAATCTTCTTCATTTCTTCGTCGGGAGACTGAAACTCTCTAATTAAAATCAACATTACTTCTCTGGTATAGTAGTTGGCGTATTCGGCGTCCATAAGAGGGATCAAATAACCGATAGCTTTCAAGAAAGCGGCCAAACCTTTACCACGATGAGTTCTAATACCTGAAATTGAAATAAATTGTTATAAGATATAATTAAAGATTTTCTTTTTGATTTTAATACCTTTCCATAGCGGTTTCAAGACGGAATCAAAGTTCTCGATACCGTAAGGTGTAGCGGCTTCGGCCAAGGCAGCAATACCCAGAGCTGTGATTGTCCTTACTTTTTGCTGCTCGTCAACTAAACCGTGCTCGATGATTTCAACTAAAGATCTTAGATGGGGCAAAATGGCGCAACCCATTAAAATAGCGATTTGTTGAACAATTTTAATACCGGTGTGTCGCGCCTGCCAAGACTTCTTTGAACGACAGACAGCTTTCAAGAAAGGTAATAGAGATGGGATACCTAAAAGTTATCAATGAATATTTATAATTCTAACATTATATCATAGTATCCTTGTATATGAATTTTTAAAGTAGCCCAGCTAAGACGTTTATGGATGTAAAGCACCAGATGGCGGGGCGTATTTCACAGTCTTTTACTACAGAAAAATATTTTTTGTTACTCTGAATTTTGAAGCGACCAATAAAAACAGAGAAAATAAAAATCGATAATTTTCGTACTGTGCCAATTGGTTACTAATCGACCAGATACTTTTTGTCTATTGTATATGCTATAAAAGCTGGTAATTATACAATTCGACCATTGTAAATACCCGACAAATTTCGCAAGGCCGACGAGGCCGATGCTTTTCACTGATAAGAAAAAAAAATGTTTGTTTAGATAATTTTCGAGATATTTTTTCTTTCTGAATGCACATTTTTAAAGTATTTTATATTCTTTGTCCGCTTGATCTATTAAGGCGGGTTCTCACTTGTCAGTTTCGCTGACGCAGTCTGACTGATTCATTATCAATGAAAAATAAAAATCAACGATTGTATTCACACGTTTCATGTTTTGCTACATTCAGTATTCAGTTGGTCCAAACATTTTAACGTGGTGATTTCGCAGACATGAAAATGGTTAAAACAAAATTGAAACCAGGTGTTCGCGAAGTTTGTTTACAATTAGCAAATGAATTACAGAATATTCTGGTGAATCAGAAAAGAAGAAAACGTTTTTTTTAAAGCAGATACGTCTACAAGAAACCGTTGATGTTCTATTTTAACAGAACGTCAACGGTTTCTTGTAGACGTATCTGCTTTAAAAAAAAGCGTGTTCTCATAATAGTTTGAATTTAAATATTTTAAATAGTTTTTTTTCTTTATTCTTTGATTTTTTTTTGCTTCCGACGATAGACTTTCCGAAACGTTAAGCATTTTTTTCTTTGTTAAGCCAATTTGTATAACTGTAAACATAACTTCTGAAAGCAGTGTCCGTTTAGGTTTAACGCAGAAGTGTTTACAAAAAAATAACTATTTTATTTTGTAGATTTTCTTTGCAGTGCAGTGGCGAAATACCCATAAAGGATTTTTGGAGATATATATTAAAAATAATTAATTAACTTTAACTTGTAAACTGAACAAATCACGAAAATGTAGTTCTCACGCTTCAGTTTCTATTCATTATTCGATAATGATCAGTCAAAAATGAAAAAAGTAGAACTGGTTTTCACTTTAACTGAAAGTACGAATTTACTGATCATTTAACATGAAAATGTGTTCTGACGTTCATTATTTGTTCAGTATCACTGAATCAGTCAGACTGCGTCAGCGAAACTGACAAGTGAGAACCCGCCTTTATACTGGTTGCACGTATCGAGGTTCTGTTTCTTCTAGTTTTAAAAAATGTTCTTATTTCTTTGTAGTTGTAGTGGTTGTAGTGTAAATTTAGATTAATTTTATTAAGTTTAATTATAATGTTTAGTGTAGAATACCAGAAATAGTTTAGTAGTGCTTTTATAGTTTATTATTTTGCAGTTAAGTAGTAGGTGAAAGGACAATTTGGTTACACATTTGGTTACACTATATCTTCCTTCAACTTCGTTGAAAAGTGCGTTATCATATAATTTTGGTTTTCTGATAGTAGAATATACGAAGAAAAAATCTGATCAAATTTATTTTAAATTAAATTAATCGAGTTTTATTAATCAAATTAATCTAGCCAAATAATAATAGTTAGTTTCTAAATACTAACCAGGGTGAGTTTCCTACAATGTTCTCTATGGGTATCTCGGAAACTACTGGAGATAGAGTCGGTTAAATGGGGAAAAAATTGCAGTTTTGTGGGGTCATAAATATGCGCCCTTCGGATTTTTCGGAGAAATTCAAGGGTTACTAGATATTTTGAAAAAAATTTTGGCTATTTTGAAATTTTGTCTCTAATTCCATTATAATCTACCGTATGATCGAATAAAAACGGCGTCAACGATGGCTATGAAATGAAGATCGCTGTCATTTTATATCTATGTAAAATTATATGGGAAATATCATCGATCGTCATTTCATAGCTATCGCTGAAGCCGTTTTTATTCGATCATACGGTATTTTAGACAAAAACTTTTCAGATAAAAGTTGTAGATAATCACATACCTAATGAGTTTGTGTTTTCTGTTTTTTTTTTCTAAAGCCTGTCATTTTTGACATATGACACAAACATTATGTTTTTTTTAAATGGAAACCATAGTTGGCCATGACTTCATAAAAAGCGCCATTTTTTAAGCTTTTCAGCGATATAGGTATAATATGTTTTTTTCGAAAAATTACAAGTTATAGCCAATTCTTTTCTTTCTTGGCTAATTTCCATACCAATAATACCATGCCAATTAGTTGGCATCAAAAATGTAAAAAATTTCATGTTTTCAAAAAAATATCATAAAATTCGTAAAGCACTCAATTTAGAATAAAATAATCTAAGAATGAAATGATTTTTTTATAAACCTGCATTAAATCAAATTAAAATAGGTATGTAACTTTTTTTTAAATATTAATTTTAAGTTTCGTTTAAATTTCTTAATCAGCTGATCACTATTAAAGTTCACAGAAACCCTGGGCTATATTATTACATTACTCTGAGGAAAATAACGAAAATAATCGATATTTTTGACTCGGCCCCGAAAGGTTCACGATTTGTCCTCCAGTTGGCAGCACATTTTGTCTAGTCGGTTGGGCAACTTTAAGAATATATAAACAAGGATAGTATAAAGAAAAGAGTAGCCTCCCTCTCCAAGTATTTTCCATCGGATGACAAAATTCAGCAGACTGTTGGCAGCATTTGAGTGCTTACCCGCCATTGCGGCCGCGAGGGCCTATTATGCTATGTTAGCAACATACAGAGCATTTCAGTTGATATCTAGATCGCAAGCTGTAAGATTCAAGCGTTGAGCAAAAAAAGTCTGAATTACAAAAGAAGAAGGGCATTACTGTGTGCTGCTATATCGGTGTTCTAAAGTAGCCACGTTTTTCTAGGTTATACAGGGTGGTCCGAATAGTATTCCGGAAACTTCGCCAGCATATTCTGCTGATAAAAATAAGTAAAAAGTTCTGTACAAATGTATGTCCTAAAATGCGTAGTTCCGGAGATACAAGGTGTACAAATTTAATTTTTATATTAATTTTTTCCAAGTAATTTCTAAAGTAACGTCAATATTTGGATGAAAATTGGTATCTAGGAGTTTTGGTTTGGTTTGGTTTGATACCCCTTAGCTCAAATCTCGTACTTACCGATGGTTTCACTAACAAAACAGTTTAAAAATATCCAAATTTATACTAAAACACAAAAATAAAATAATCAATAATATGGAGCATTCCTGCAAACTGTCAAAGTCTTGTCAAAACGTATATTTGGTTATAAATATAAACTAGAATACCCCACTGGTCGCACTGCAAGCACACCAACGGACTGACGCACAAAAACGTATCAATCAAAGAAACGCGATATAGTATCGTCTTTGTCAATCACACTAACATTTTAGAATAAGTAGGAGGAGCGCGGGCAGATGATAAGACCGGGCCTTTAAAAACCTACGTCTGCGGTAAAAATTTACGTTTTTAATGTAAAAATGATAGCGCGCGTGTCGATTCTAACTTCATCAAGCGATGAATCACTCCCAAACATTCGTGGCGTTTACTTTGGGAACTTTTTATTTTTTTTAAATTAATCATAAACTTTTCTTCCAAAAAAATGATGATAAAACAGTTTCTATTGAACTTTTGACACAAAAACATTTCAAATTTATGATTTCAGTCTATGATAATTTAGATTCCAAATATCCCGAGATTCACTACTCTTAGCAATTTTTACCAAGATACCTTTTTTACGTAAAAAAACGTCGTAAACGTATATTTTTACCAACTAGTTTTATACAGGTACAGACAAAAAGTTATTACTTTTCAAACAAGTTAAAAAATATGTAGGTGGTGCCCTCTACAAGTAGTAGTCATATTGACATCAAAATCAAATTTCTCATGTCAAAAAACTACCATTTTCATCCAAATATTGACGTTACTTCAAAAATTATTGGGAAAAAAATCGAAATAAAAATGAAACTTCCACACCCTGTATCTGCAAAACTAAGCATTTTAGGACATACATTTATAGGAACATTTTTGCTTATTTTTATCTGTAGAGTATGCTGCCGAAGTTTCCGGAATACAGTCCCGACCACCCTGTATAACGTTGAAAATATAATTTCGTATTAACCTGGTCGTTTCTTTTCAAATTTAATATTATATTTTAAGTATATTTATAGCTACAATATATTTATTTTTAACACATTATCCAATGTTATTTTATTTGGTTAAGTGATCACGCGTCGCGTATAAACAAAGAGTTTCACAAGAAGCAAAACGTTACTCGTTTCTTTATATATTACTATAATAATTTCAAACCTTACCTAAAGCCGAGGCGACTACCGCAAACGCTCTAGCAGTGGTGTTTCTTACGTACTCATCGATATTATCGATATCAGGTCTCATCGTAGATATCATCGTCGCCAACCCAGCGGCCTTGGCCAAATTCGAAATGATTTCTCGGCCTTCAACACGGGCATAGTAATCTTCGTCGATAAGCAGCGGCTCGATAACAACAAGAATTTTGTGTACATACGGGCGCACCAGGTCGTCCAGCTTGTAAAGAATCCGGTCGATTACTTTCACCAACAGATGGCGTTCCTGGTCTTCCAGGGTGGGACTCATAAGCAACGGGAGGATTTGATTGAACAGAGGCCCAGCGCCAAACTCTCTAGCTTTGTCTGTTATCTGCCTCAACGCGGCTTTCCGCATCGGAGGCGTGCCGTTCTTGATTTTCAACAATAGCTTCATAATTTTTCGTTCTTTCTGTTCTTCTGGACTCAAAGCCTCTTCGTCTACGTCAACCAGGAGCTTGTCAAAGTACTGAGCGTCTTCCGGTTTCATGAACGGTAAATTTTGACCTTTCGGTTGGTTATCGAGGTATTTTGCGCTTTTATCTTCTTGCTGTATGAAAAATCCAACTGGTGTTTGACCCGCAAGAGGCGTCGGTGTCGCTGTCAGTTTCCTAGCGGGTGTACGTATCGGAATATATCCAGCAGGAGGTGGTAAAACCTTATAACCTTGAGGGAACATAGCGTCGAGTTCCTCGTCAGAATAGGGACGATTCCTTTCATCGATTTCCCTCTCCCAACGGTAAGCTTGAAGTTGCTCCGGTGTCATCGAGGCCAAGTGTCCCGGAGTCGGCGTGGACATGGCCATGGCTTTAGTACCAACAGGCGTGGAGCCCCCTGGAGTTAACATTGGCGTGGCGTGGCCCGGGGTACCGTGGGGCGTCTGAGGCGTCATAGCGCCGGGGGTCATGGCGGCTTGCGAGGGCGTGGCCGCGGACGGTGTCTCGTCCCATCGCGATCGACGCTTCGAGGCTCCGGGAGTTGGGGTTTCCTGGATAAGGTCGGCGCCTGTTCTATCTGTTCTAGGAGTCTCGGCCCAACCGCTCGAATGACCCGGAGTGTCTCTTTCGGTTTTGGGAGTTTCGTCCCAACGGTTCCTTCTCGAAGAGGCTTTGTCGTGGGCTGGGGTTTCTCGACACTGTCTCCTCAATGAACACCTCAGTAGATTGAAACTAAGAAGAAACGGCGAATGCAGATTCTGTGGGGAAGATGGGGAAACACCAGTACACCTCATCACTGAGTGCGCCGAGACGACAACCATTCGTGCCATGAATTTTGGTACGACTGATATTGGAGATGGAGAACTACCCTCTAAAAAACCGTCCCAGATACTGGCTTTTGTCAAAGCCCTGGGACTGTATGATGAGCTATGATTCAAGAAAGGGGGACACAATGGATCTGTAAGGTCGAAGTGATTAACCCCCCTCCCACTCATTCTAAATTCTCTAATTCTAAGAGTACAATGCGTTTATAATGTACTAAACAAAGAGAGAACAGTAAAAACGTTGTCAAACGTATAAACATACAATCTGTGCACATTGCCAAGAGACGTCGAACGGGATACAGGAGATCTGTCATGGTCGACCCAATCAGTACTTAAAATTCTAGAGAAGGATGTATATCATGCGTTCAGCTTTACGATTTAATTACGTCTCGTGATACTTTATTTGCTTATTTATTAACGAGTCGTTGTAATTTTCCCAATAGCTTGTAAATTTTTAAGTGCAGGTTAGAAACACTCGCACTTTTGATAAAAATAAGTGGAATTGAATTGGTGTTTGACAGTGGTCGCGCTATTAGAACTCAAAAATCGATATCTCGAAATCCATTAGAAATAATTGATTGTATTTTTATTCAAAAACTTTCTTAATATTTCGGCTATATTTTCTTCGCAGACAGTATAAATCTTTACAAACACGATTGTTGAAAATTGCTATGAACTAAATGTAAATGGACGGATTTTTGAATGAAAAAAAAAACAAGTCTATGGAATTTTTTTTCATTTGAACATCTTGTAAAAGATCCCGAACTTCAAAATAAAAAAAGTTTCAATATCTAAAGTGGTTCTTGAGTTATTGCGTGTATGTGTTAAAAAGTCGAGTTTTTAAATTATCGCGATTACTGACGTTTTCTCGTTATAAAACATATGGATACTCTAACGATATCCTTATAATTCCATTTCACATGTTCAAAAACATATCTAATGATTTTATCTAGTTATCTTTTCGAAAAGGTCTTTTAAAAATAAGCGGTTTGCGGTCGTGACTTTACTTTACTTGATAGGGAAAGGCATACCGGAGAAATATGGAAACGTGGCAACAGCACACCGTCGCATTTCTCTCACTCCGACTTAATAAGATCCCTATGCAATTTACATCCACATACATATGTAAATACCGACCCAAAAGTTAGAGTCGCCAGCACGGTATATAATTGTACAATATGTGTATGCAATGATTTCATTATCACCCAGTATATTACTTTCAAACAATGGTTGCTAAATTATTCAATAATTATATTCATCTACCATAAAAATTACAAAAAAAAAACTTGATGAAAGTATACTTACATCACCTTCCCAAACAGGAGTTGCAGTAGCACTATTTGTTGCAACTGACAATGTCTTTTTCTTTGCCGGTACAAAAGACTCTTCAACTGTTTGATCCCATCTGCCTCTCTTTTTTTGATTGGCTTTTGAATCACCGTTCTGCACTTTCAAACTGCCATCTTTTGCTTTTTCCAAAATTTTCTTTCTTATCTAGAAAAATATTTTAATAAATTATCACAAAATTTTACCCAAAAACAACTTAATTAACTCACCTCATTTTCTTCACTTTTTAGAAAAGTTTCTTTCATAATCTGTGTGTAGCCTCTGGCATTTACATCTGGTGTTTTGCCACCTGAAATCACAAATAACCCAAAAATCTAAATTAGCACAATTGTAGCACATTTTTTTTATTTAGACTCATAATATGGCCATATGGGCAAAATTAGATAATCCTAATTTTCTTACTGAGCCAAACCAAAAAATACAAACTATATTAATTTAAAATAAATTTAAAATTGATAGTGTAATACATTAGAGTGGGTCAAAAAATCGACTATCTTTTTTTCACATTATACTCTGAAAAAAGGTTGGTAGACGCCTCAAAAAAATTCTCTCCAAGTATGAGCTCTTTCTATTTAATAGGAAGGTCCAACCAGAGTATAAAAATAGTCAATTTTTTTGATCCACCCTACTATACATTTTCTATGCAAAAATAATATATAGTATAATTTTTGTTTCGGCATCATTTGTTTGAACAATAATTTGAAACACCACATTCTCTTAATGCTCATCTTTTTATTAAATCTAATAAAAAGTTTTATTCTGAACAGAGACAGTGTGGTCACATGCGATCACTGTGAAATTCAAGAGAACAATAAGTGATCCCCTCTTGAATATGTCACTGATTGTAACAAAAATAAAACTTAAAAGCCATCAGTTAAAAAAGAATGTGGTGAACAAATATCATACGTACATGCTGGTCGGATCCGTCACATATATGAAGCTCCCTTGAAAACAACAGATGGCAAATCGAACCTAGAAATAGGCTGGGGTAAATTAATAATTTTCAAAACATTACATACACTCTTTCACGCTTTTATTTGCAATAGGTACGTTTAATACTTTTACCACTCAGCATTTTTATTTGTTGAGTATCCACTGTGTGCTTACTTCATCTTGTCTTGCCTAAATCTGGATTTCCATTGAGAACAAAACGAGTAATTAGTTCTTTTGTATATTGTAACTTTGTTCAGGCCACTCAAACATTCATTCGGAATCATTCAATACCCCAAGAATAAAAAAATTTCTAATGATTATCAGCTTTGTCAAAACTTTAGAAAAATGTATTTTGTAATAAGAATAATTATCATCATACATTACAAATAGCTACTACAACTATAAAAGTTACTTAAAATATATGACAAATATATTGAAAAACATTTCATATATATCATATATCTTAGAAATATTGACAATAAAAAAGCTGATTTCTATTAAACCTAATCAATATTCTCTAAAATTTATTTAAGTACTTACCTTCTGCAAATGGATCCACACGTTCTGGTGAAATTAGCATCCTTCTTCTCTTCTGTCGATATTCATCTTCTCTGTCGGCAATAGTAGGCCTTCTGCGGTCAGCAAAGGGATCATAATCTTTTTCACTCTAAAATTATTTTGTTTTAGTAATACAGTTATATCCAGTGACAAAATGGACTATTTTAATTGTTAGAAATACTTCAAGCATTAACTCACTTGTGCAATATCGTTAAGCAAAGCAACTGGGCCTCCTAATCCGGCACGTTTTTGTGGAAACCCAACGTCCTCTTCATCTTCTTCGACTTCATCATTTGCAGCAATGGATGTTACGTAGCCTTCATATTTCTTATCACTTCCTTCGTAAATTTCACTATCGAAATATCCACTTTCTCCCAAACCCACCCCTTTAGAATCCTCGACCACGATTTCTTTTCGTTTGCTTTGTAAATCCCGAATTTGAGCTTCGATATCTAGAAAAATATTCAAATTAGAAGAAACAAAGTTGTTGCCATGTTGTTGCCGAATTTTCACATTACCTTCGTGTGTTCGTGGAATCTCCATGTTGTGTTTATGTAATCTTTCAGCACTTGCTGAATAACGGATTTATTATTAATAACAATTCGCAGATAGTGGGTAGCTTTTAAATCTATACTTTTTGCTATGTAAAAATATTACAACAAAATGGCGACTTCAAACATCTTCAAAAATCAATATTTGATAATCTGTCAATGTCAACTTGTCAACTACGTCAAATTTTCAAAATAGGCACAGATCACAGATTAAAATAATATCTTCACCCACAGATCAATTATTTTTATCAGATTCTATCCGATCCGAATATCCATATATGATTTTTACAGACGGCATTATCCCATCCGGATAAATATATATGATTTTTACACACAGCGGTCCGTCGCTGAGCAAAATTCAAAATTCTCAGCGGTCTGAGAATTTTGCTGTGGAACGCGCACAAATGATGATACAAAAACTTTTTTTATCATGCCTTTAAAATTTAACTTTCTACCATCCAATTTTATATTTATTATTTTACGATTTTAACTTTAACCCTTTTAAAATTTACCCGAATTACGCAGTTTAAACAAGAATCACCGATTGTATATAATTTTATTTTTTCCGCAATATCATCAACTCTGTATAACGGGAAAGCGTTAATAGCGCAAAAGATTAAAGTTCATTAGCTTCTAGCTTTCTAAAAATATTAAATGTACAAAACACTTTAGACCAAGTACCTATATACTAATCTGAGTTTAATACAGTATATCTACTGTAAATTTAAAGGATAATAATTTTATCAAGATGACTGATTTATTAAAAGATTTTAAAAGTGGGCCTTTGGATGTTTATAGAAAAAAAGCATCATTTGATTGGAAAAAATTGAAGATATTCCTGGATACTGAAGAAGGTGTAAAATATGAAGTAAGAGTAGTATAAAGTTCAGAAAAAGTAATATGCAGTAAACTTATTTCAGATCGAATTTTATAATGAACTTGAAAAATACAAGGAATTCAAAAATCATGATAGTATACATGGTATTTCGTTTGATGAAGAAAGAAGATTAGCATTACATCAGTGTTTTGCGTATAAATCAATTAGATTGCATTCGCTGGAATATCAACTTGGAAATTTAATTTTTCCTTCGATTTCTAATAGAATCGCCACACAATTTCTTCCTTCCGCAGCAATAAAATATAATGTTTCGATAACTTTATTTGTCAATGCTATTCGTTCCTTAGGCACTGAAAGACATTACCACTTTTTAGATGACGTAGAAATGGGAAATGTAGGTTTCAAGAAGTTATGCAAAGAAATAAGTACTATTTGGTTTCTGTTCTAGATTACAGGCTGTTATTGTTTGACTGAAATAGGTCATGGGAGCAATGCAAAGGGCATGAGAACCACTGCATCATATAACAAAGAAAAGAAAGTTTTTATTCTACACTCTGAGAATTTTGAAGCAGCAAAATGTTGGGCTGGTGGTTTGGGCCAAACAGCAAGCCATGCTTTGGTTTATGCGCAATTGATAACCGGTGAAAGAAAATATGGACTACATTGTTTTGTAGTTCCTATCAGAGATCCCAAATCTTTACTGCCATTTCCTGGTATAATTGTTGGGGATATGGGTGAAAAAATAGGTCTTAATGGTGTTGACAACGGGTAAAATAACTTTCCTCAAATGCCCAGTAGCTGCCATACTAAACATTATTTTTTAAGGTTCTTACTATTTAATAATTATGAAATACCTCGAGAGAATTTACTAAACAAATTAGGTGATGTAAGTGAAGATGGACAATACATTACTCCCTATAAGGATCCTAATAAAAGACATGGGGCTGCTTTAGGAAGTCTTTCTGGGGGTAGAGTATACATTACTGGGATGTGTGAGGCTTATACTACTCACGCATTAACTATTGCTATCAGATATGCTGGTATACGTAAGCAGTTTGGTCCTAATGAACTTACCGAAGTGCCGCTATTAGAATATCAAACGCACGTATGAAAAATATAAAATATTTAACTAGATTTTTTAATACATATATATATTCTAAATTCAGCAATATAGGCTACTACCGTATCTAGCAGCTGCTTATATTCTTAGAATATTTTCTCCATGGTTGATTACAGTTTTGTACCAGTTTTCCATAGATGCGATTATGGGTAATGATAAAGAATTACAGGCTCAACAAGGCTTAGAGCTACATGCTGTATCATCAGCTTCGAAGCCTGTCGCTGGTTGGATTGCAAAACAAGCAATTCAGGAATGCAGAGAGGCTTGTGGTGGACATGGTTACTTAAAAGGTTTGATATCAATTTTAACAATATATTTATTTAATCTTTAGTTGCTATCCTACTAACAATTGAGTCCAATAAATCAATATTATGGTATTCTACGTCACTAATTTTATATAGTTTTTTAATAGCTAACCTATCATTAATACAACTTAATTCAGATATATCGAGAATATCACCGTCAATTTCACTAAAAATTTCTTTGGCACTATCTGTATCATTTTTCTTAGATATTACCACAACTAAAATATTTGTATCACTGTCTGCTACTCCAAATGTTTGTAAACTTTGGGTTATGTTTGAAGATAAGGATAAATTAAATAGGATTTCAGTGTAGTTACTCTTTGTTGTTCTTTTCTTGTGTGTCAAGGCTTTATTAGCGGCAACTACTACTTGAAAAGGATCGAAAATCAAATTAGATTTTATTAAACAACATTCCAATTTTCCTGACATCGCTTTTTTCCTCAATTCGGAAGTGTTCTTGACATTCTCAAATAACTGCATAGTAATTATTGATTGGGTTGCATCGTCCAATTCAACAGAATAGGCCATTATTGTTCAAAATAAGTACTATAATGATCAACAACTGCAAAAATAGACTAAAAATAATATGTTTTTGCTAGGGAGAAACCGGAGAAATATATAAGATGATATGTTAGGTTAAGTCAAACTGTCAAAGTCAAAGGCACAGAGTCAAAGGTTAATTAAGTCATAGATAATGGGTTAAGTAAACTTTTTACACCGTTGTCATATTTTTATTTTTTCTCAACGAATTAAGGAATTTTAAAAATATCTGAGTAGTTCGTTCAAATTTGGTTCTAATTCTTTAAGTAAATATCTATTTTATACAGGGTTGTTCACCACATACGACACGTAATATTGTATCTAAACGATTAGATTTTTTCAAATTGTAAGGTTTGGGTTCGTTGAAGGACTATTAGAGCTACAATTATATTACAAGATACAAAATATTTTACAAGATACAGTTAAAAACAAACAATAAAACTTACAATTTGTAAAAATCTCATCGTTTAGCTACAATACTCCGTGTCGTATGTGGTGAACAACCCTGTATAAATCGTTTTAGCTTCCAGGATTGGAGATATTAGGAATAATAATGATGCTAACTTAACATATGAAGGAGAAAATCATATTTTAATTCAACAAACCAGTAACTGGCTACTGAAATTCTGGCCATTAATATTAAATAAAAAGGAAATTTCTTCTCCTCTAAAATCTGTAAATTTCCTAGGCGATAGTTTGAATATATTACAAAAAAATAAATTTTCTGCCACATGTATTGAAGAAATGCGTTCACCAGATAGTAAGTATTTCTGATTAATTATAAATTTTTGTAATACGAGGCATGTTTTTTAAGTAAGTACCGTTTTGCGATTCCGCCGTCGCAGCGCTACGGTCGGCGTTCCGCGCATGCGCGCTGGTTACCTACATCTCTTGTCTATGCACAGACACCAGTACAGTCTGATTCTTCATTGTATACGTTGTTTATTGAGTGTTTAAGTTGCCTCCGACAATCGTGAGCCCCGCCGATTGTGAAGTACGGGCTGTCATACGATTTCTTAGTGCTAAAGGCGTAAAACCGATCGATATTCATCGTGAGATCTGTGAAGTTTACGGACAAAACATTATGAGTGATGGAATGGTAAGGAAATGGGTGAGAGCATTTAAAGATGGCCGCACAAATGTGCATGATGAAGAACGGAGTGGGCGTCCTTCGGTCGTTAATGAAGATTTGGTGCAGAAAGTGGACGAAAAGGTGAAAAAAACAGACGCCTTACAATTTCATCATTGTGCGACTACTTTCCTCAATCTTCTCGTAGTGTTTTGTATCGCATTGTGACCGAGAACTTGAATTACCGGAAATTCTGTTGACGGATTTGCACAAAACCCAACGTTTAGGCAGTGCATTGACTTTCCTTGAGCAGTACCACAATGAAGGTGAAGATTTTTTAGACAAAATTGTTACTGCTGACGAAACATGGGTGGCCTACGTCACACCAGAATCGAAACAACAGTCCATGGAATGGCGACATTCATCATCACCCAAAACAGTGAAGTTTAAGCAAACAATTTCTGCCCGGAAAATCATGTGCACAGTTTTTTGGGACAGAAAAGGAGTATTGCTAGTGGAGTTTTTGCCTCGCAATGAGACAATCAATGCAGCATCTTATTGTGAGACATTGAACAATCTGCGCCGTGCAATCCAAAACAAAAGATGTGGCAAGTTGAGTAAGGGTATTGTTTTGCTGCATGACAATGCCCGTCCACATGTGGCTAATCGGACCAAAGATCTCATCAAATCTTTTAATTGGGAAACTCTAGATCATCCTCCATACAGCCCTGATCTGGCGCCCAGTGACTACCATTTATTCCTGCACTTGAAATAACACCTTGGCGGTCAGCGTCTTCAAGACGATAACGAAGTCAAAAGAGTTGTGATACAGTGGTTAACCAGTCAGGCGGCAGAATTTTATGAGGAGGGTATTGAAAAACTGGTGCCACGTTATGACAAGTGCCTCAATATTCACGGAAATTATGTAGAAAAGTAGATTAAGGTACAGGCTTTCATGTAAAAATAAAATTATTGCGATATCTTTGCACGTTTTTTTTTAATTCCAAAACGGTACTTACTTAAAAAACATGCCTCGTATATTTAAAATTAATAAAAAAATAACAATAGACATTATATCCACTTACCAATGGTTGGTTGCTTATTTATTAAGAAAAACCCATACAAATTTGGAAAACAGCATGAAAAGTAAGGATGTATTTTGGGCCAAAAACGAGAATCAAGTATTCAATGCGAAGAATTTGTCGGTCGCTTTTATAGAGGTATTGGTATTAAAGTAACATTTCATAATGACATTAATAAATTTAATTATGTCCTTTAAGCATTTTATGTTGCAAGTTACCCTAAGTAAAATAAAAGAGGCTTCAGAAGAATCTGTTAAAAACGTTCTCTTAAAATTGTTTTCTCTTTTTGGACTTTGGTCGCTGGAGAAACATGTTGCTTCCCTATACGCAGGTGAATATGTATCAGGTCCACAATTTGTAACTCTGCTTGAAAATTCAATACTGAGATTGTGCTCAGATCTTAAGGATGAAGCTATTGCATTGATCGATGTAATTGCGCCACCCGATGTTGTTATAAATTCGGTTTTGGGTGCGTCTGATGGTGAGGTGCGTCTAGTTAGATATATATATATATATATATATATTATATATATATTTATATATATATATATATATCTAAATATATAGTCAATTACTGGCTCAGGAATATTAGCAATAATAAGTTATTCAATGCGATAAAAAGATGGTAAGGCTGCAAAATACACTGCAGTGCAAGTGTCTTTTCCCTACCATCGTATAGGGGAAGTGATCATAGAAGTGATACGACGAGAGAGCCCCTGCGAGAGGGGCGCCGGGCGGGTCTTTAAGACGCTTGTGTGGGGGCTACCGCCTACTAATAGAACAGAATCGAAAAAATAGAAACAGGACGGACAGTGTTGCCATTCAATTAAATCGAAATTATGTTGGCTTGTCAAAATCCTAAATCTTCTAATCCCATTATCTTGCCTACTTAATGAAATATTAAATAAAGTACGAAACAATTTTACGAATGTTTTCTCTAGGCACATAACTTCTTTCTAAAACGAAAAGTAACATGCAAAACTTTGATATCATTTCTAAAATAGCAAGTGCAATTCTATGAAATGGCAATACTGTACGATCTTCCTAGCAGTCGCCCCGACACAGTCGGTCGGCGGCGGCGCTTCACAAAGCCGCGGCTGTGACAAAGGAATTAGGCCGAAAAAAACTTTATAAGGAGTAGACGAACAGGGTTGCCGGGTTTGTTAGATTATAATTCCATACGAGAACAAAATTCTCGGTAGATCTTCAACAAAAATTAAAAGTACAGAAACGAAATAAAATATAATATTTAAGTCCAAAATTAGCATTCCTATGTGTCGTAATAATAGATCACTCAAATAAAATACAAATATAATAAATATAACAAGAATTAGAAATAGCTAGGTATATTATTTGATATTAAAAAAAAATATTGAATTAAATAATATTAATATATTAATAAAAACATATAAAACTATAACAAGTAGGGATAGCAGTCACAAATTAGTGTAACAGTCACTTTTTACCTTTGTACAAATTTTGATCAGTGATATCTAAAATTAATTTCATTTCAATGGTAAAGCTGTAGCAACTCTCAACTCTTTTTTCATATTAATAAATTTTTTTGACGGGAAAATCACTAAATATTGTCCGAATTTAGGTTGTTTCTTAACTTAAATTTTGTTTTTGTTTACATTTTTTGGGGGAAAATATGGGTTCAACTTTAGTAGATGAATGAAATAAAATCTTTTCAAAAGATATCAACTTCTTCGGGCATGCCGCCAATCCCGCGCCTAATAAGGAGTAATAAGGATTTTTAGGAATATCTCTGTAACTCTGCAACTAGACAGAACGATGACCTGTATGTCTGTTATTACTAAATAAAATTTAATGAAACAATAATAAAGTCAGATTATATAGATTCCAACGCGGCAGTCGCTTAATTTTTAGTCAAATAAGTCAGCTTTTTAAAAGTGCTTCTATTGTAAAAACTAAAGACGCAGTTGAATATATCGTTGGGTTTTTCTTTAAATCGGTAGATCGGTAGCTTACAGACGAAACCGGTAGACCTGGCAACTCTGTGATGAACTGACGGGAGTGGAATAGCGAGGTGCGGTGGCGCGGGAAGGGAAATAAAATAATGGCGATAACAAAGGGCAGGGAGATGGGCATCATGAGTGGATGGAGGTGGCGGAATTTCCAAAATTTGTTATCTTATTGGCGTTTATCTAAGTAGACAGTCGCCTATACGCAGGTGAATATGTATCAGGTCCACAATTTGTAACTCTGCTTGAAAATTCAATACTGAGACTGTGCTCAGATCTTAAGGATGAAGCTATTTATTGATCGATGTAATTGCGCCACCCATTTTGTTATAAATTCGGTTTTGGGTGCGTCTGATGGTGAGGTGCGTACTCCAGTTATATAGAATAACATTTATATGTCTATATTTTTTTAAATATTTATTCACTATTTAGGTCTACAAACATCTGCAGTCCGCCTTATTCAGCTCTCCTTATGCGATGAGTAGACCAAGCTGGTGGCAAGAAATAATATCTTTGCGCGAAAATACTGTGCAATCCAAGCTTTAAAATATTGTTTTACATATATGGGATTTTATAAGCAATATATTTTATTTTTGATATGTATTTATTTCTTTTTATTATAAATAAATAAAGATACAAGTCCAAATTAATTCCATATCCCAAATCTCTGCATCAGAACTTATAAGTTATCTATTTTTTGAAAAATCTTTTAAAACTAAAATGATTAGCATTATATTTTTTCTTCCAAATATGTACTGGCAACAATGTTATCTTTGCGCCTCAAGCCCCGTTCTCAGAACTGCGTCGTGTCAACAGCGACACTGATTGACATTTCAAACGACCAATGGGATCTCCCTAAAATCTAAAACTGTTTGAATTCAAAAAATCCCCTGAATATCCGTTAAAAGACTAAAAAATATCCCGAAAAAGCCCTACCGATATAAACAATAATAAATAAACAATTTATTGTGTACTAAATTTTGAAATTGACAGTCTGCTTGAATTTTGTACAAATCTGATTGGTTCTTTTGTCGTGTCGCTGGCGACAGTCGCAGTTCTGAGAACGGGGCTTCAAACACGGAAATCCCCACAACTGTTATCGTCGATTCGGGACATAAAATAAATAAATTATTTTGTTTTATTGATACTTTCCTAAAACCCACATTCAAAAGAATAGCTTTTAGATATTTTTGATTAGCCCGTTTGGTAGTTATCGCCGATTTATTTTAAATTTTATCCCCTTCTTATGGCCCCAAAAATTTTACTCCCCTAAAATCCCCATATCAATTTTTCTTCCCAAATTAATAATTCTATTTAGGTTTATTGAAGAGCACTAAAACCCACATTCAAAAGAATATCTTTAGATATCTCAGAACAGCGACTGTCGCCAGCGACACGTCAAGAGGACCAATGAGATTTGTACAAAATTCAAACAGCTGTCAATTTTAAATTTAGTACAGCTCCCATTGGTCGTTTGAAGTGTCAATCAGTGTCGCTGTCGACACGACGCAGTTCTGAGAACGGGGCTTAAAGCCCCGTTCTCAGAACTGCGACTGTCGCCAGCGACACGTTAAAAGAACCAATGAAATTTGTACAAAATTCAAACATCTGTCAATTTTAAATTTAGTACAGCTCCCATTGGTCGTTTGAAGTGTCAATCAGTGTCGCTGTCGACATGCTGTCGACACGACGTAGTTCTGAGAACGGGGCTTCAAGGTAAAAGATAACTGTCAAATGAAGTTGACATGAGTTAAAAAATGCTATTTCTGCCGAATGCAATAGAATTTCAGTTTACCAACTAGCGAATGTAAGAAGAGAATTTTATGATCGCCTGGGTTATTGTCTAGCAGTCGATGGAGGAATATTTAAACATCTTCTTAAATCCTAAAGTGCTAACAATTTAATAGTATTCTACCCTAAATTAATAAGTTATTGAATATTGTAATAATAACTATAATTAACCTTGTAATTGATTACTTTATTTTACTTTAATTCATATTAATTTATATTTATAAATACATCTTTAAGATTTCCGATGTAGGAATGGGTTTTCAATAATAATAATAAAGTACTAAATAGGTAAATTTCTGAAATGACAACTTCATTTGACAGTTATCTTTTAGCTTGACTGGTGCTATAAGTAGATACAGGGCCATAAGAAAGGAGAAATATTTAAAAAGAAATCGGCGATAACTCGTAAACGAGCAAAAATCAAAAATTTAATTAATCAAAAATATCTAAAGTTATTCTGTTGAATGTGGGTTTTAGTGCTTTTCAATAAACCTAAATAGAATTATTCTCTAAAATAATTAGGGAAGGCAATAAATTGACCCCATTAAAATTTACATGGGATTTCCTATGTCCCGCTCGACGATGCAACACCCGGTACATTATTTACAATATTATATTATTATTTTAAATAAACAGAAATATAACTCTAGATTGACGCTAACGTTAAAAGATTTTCTTGACTTTATGGTGAAGGAAGATATAATTGGATTCAGATTTCCGATGAATATTCCCTAGAAATTTGATACAAAAAAGAAAAAAGTATTAGTATTGATATTAATGACTATAAAAATACAAATATAATTATTAACTAGAATTTTGTCTTATATTAATAAATATTATAGTTTACCAAAATAACTCACAAATTTGCCACATATTTATACGTTTTTTTTTCGTAAAATTTCTTACTAAGATATCCAATATATTTTATTTGTACACTTCAATTTCGATGCAGATGATTTTATCTAAAAAATAAAAACAAAACATTTAAAAATCTAGAAAATTATGAAGCTGTAAGCAGATACTTTCTTACCTGTAATCATCAACAGATTGTTCAACAAACGCTACGGTGTAACCTCCCTCACATAATTCAGATAATCTCTTTATAGTTGGGCCCATTGTTGTCTATTGTTAGCTATGCGAGCTCCAAGTTATCCTTGCTAATTTCCTAATATCATGGTCTTCTAGGTCTTTAATTCCTTGTGGGGACCATGCTGTAATTTTTCTGGCCCATCTGTTGTCCGTCCTTCTTGCCAGGTAACCTACTTATATTGCCATTTGAGGGATTTGACTTTTGAGGGTCTTTTGTCGTATCCACTCTATTCTTTTATGGTCTCTCTCGGTTATTCCCAGCATATTTCGTCCCATTGAGCGTTGTGCTACCTGCAGGTTTCTTATAACGTCCGTTTTAATTGTCCAGGTTTCGCCTGCCTCGGTCATGACTGGTAGTACACATTGGTCGAATGTTTTCTTCTTTAGATAAAGTGGCATTTTGGATTTGAATATGATTGAGTTTCTTCCATAAGTACTCCATGTTAACTTGATTCTTCTGTTGATTTCTGGTGGAGAGATCCCGAGATCTGTATTAGTTGTCCCAAATATATTTAATCTTCTACTATTTCTAGTTTTGTGCTATTTATTAGAACGTCTTTTCTGTCTACTAGTTCGTTGTACATTACTTCAATTTTTGCTTGTAGAAGATACATTAATTTTGAGACCTACTTTACTGCTGGCTGTATTTAGTTCGTTAATTTGAGTTTGTAGTTCTTCAGGACTATTGGCAATTAGAACTATGTCATCAGCGAATCTTAGATTGTTAAGATATTCCTCATCTGTTTTTTAATCCTTTATTGGCCCAGTCCAGTTGACGGAAGATTTCTTCTAGTGTTGCTGTAAACAGCTTTGGGGATATCGCGTCTCCCTGGCTTACCTGTAGTACCTTTTTTACACTCAATATTTTTTTTCACACTCATAATCAGTCTGATATCTTCACAGCACTCAACACTACCCTCCCAAAAATTCCACATATAGCGGCCTGAAAAAAAGGATATGCAACAACCAATCCACAATCCCTACAGTGCAGCTCATACAGAGAACGTTAGTCCCTGGAGAGCTTGGAGCTGAAAAAATTGAAACACTGAACATGAGCCAATGTGAACCTGTAAGACATTGAGATGACCTTAACGATATCTACTCAAAATTACCCTGCTGTGGTTCCTTGGAGACTCATACAAAGACTGATAGTACTAGAGCATCTTGAAGTACTGCTGTAAAAAAATAGGAGCAACAAAAGAGTATCATATGCATAGAAATTGTGTAGACTTCAATTTGGCTGCCACATGACTCTATAACCTGTTGCATACAGCTTCAAACGAAGTAGATGTTCAATCAATGTAAATCTATAAAGATGCAACAAGAATCATATAATAATAGTCCAAAGGCGCTGAATCAAGTAGGCTGCAGTAGTTCCTGGGAAGCCTCGTACTTATGGATCATTATATCCCATTCTTGCTTCAAACGTAGTAGAACTTCAACCCATGTGAACATATGAACCACAAGAACCCCACAAAAATATTCTGCAGGCATCGACTCAAACTGGCTGCTGTGGTTCCCTCTAAGGCTCATACCAATACCTGTAAAAAATAGTAACAAAAAAAAAGACTACCATATACATAGAGATTGTATAGACCTCAATTTGCCACCGACATGACTCTGACTTGTTGTATACAGCTTCAAACAAAATATATCTTCAACCAGCGCGAACCTATAAGACACAAAAACTCTACAAACATCATCTGAAGATGTCGACTCAAACTGGAAGCTCATAGTGGCTCTATCAGTCTTTGTAGAGCGCCAAGGCCTACTCTTGTAAGAAAATAAACCAGACTTAGATATGACCCTGTTAAGTTTTGGACCTCAAAAATTTAAACCTCAACTAATGATGACCTCAAAAAGTCCTAAAAATTTCTACTGCTCTACTAAAAAACTCGATTCCTTTTTTCTAGGCCCTAGAATCATACCCGAACTTGAATTGAAAATACAAAAATAAATTTAAAACATTTAGACTATTTGTATTGAAAATTTAGTTATGGAAATGCTTACATTTTGACATGCGTTTACTCTAAAGTAGTAATAAGTAAAAGAACGTGAGTTAAAAAATTAGGAAGTTATAGAGAGTTACCTACACCTCCACGTTTAATTTAAGAAAATAAAAAAAAATCTTTTAGACATTCTCTAGATTTCAAGTTGACTAAGATAATATGAAGAATGATATTAATTAATTATAGTTAATAAAAGTTTTTTTTTGAAATAGTATAAATCACAAAGATTCTAATCCCAAATAACGTTAAAAAGAAAACACTAAAAGAATAAAAGACTTGGAATCCTCATTATCTTAGCACCCTCGATTCAACATTACAGAGACTAGAATAGGATGATTATTTGAATTTAGTTTAAAATTACAGAAAATACTAAAACTAATAGTGGCCTAGAAAGTCATAAAAATCTCTACTACACAACTTAAAAAAATTGATTAATTTTTTCTGGGGCCTAGAATTTTTCTGAACTTGAATGGGAAATGTAAAAAGAAATTTAGACAATTTAGACTATTTGTATTAAACATTTAGTTATCGAACTGCTAGATATTGACATGCGTTTACTCAAAAATAGTAATAATTAAATAAAAGTGAGTTAAAAAAATTAAGAAGTTAAAGAAAATCACCTACACCTACATGTTAAATTTAAAAAAATAAAAATAACTGTTAGAGATTTTCAAGATTTTAATTTGACCTAAATAATATGAACAGAGCTAA